ACATTTTCAACCAGCAATTCAACTATACATCACGATTAGCACTTTGTTATGTTGAAAGTGTTGCAGTATGTGGGTAAAAAGCATATGGAACAAAACTGGACAAATGTTAAAACTCATTAGAAGTGTCTATATGGTGGATAAATACAAGTTATTTAACATCAAATGTTCCCTAACAGAAATAAACAAAAATACAAAAGATAATCAATTTAACGTAACTGACTACAAGTATTATTTCTTTGTTTGTATATAGCTAGCTACATTCTAGTGTGTTGGTATTTTAAATTGGTTAGAATGGCATCACTACCAATCGTTTGGTAATTAAAGATATTTCAACAGTTGAATTCACGAGTCAATCTAAGCTAGACCACGACTGAAAACCTAGAAGCACTGAACGGTCGTTTCGTTCTAGCATGGTATATACCAAGAACTGCAAAGTAATAAGAACAAATAAACTTTTTTTCATCTAATGTAGATGAACAAAAAAATAATAGAATTAAGTTTATCTTATCAGAAATAATAATCTGATCACAGTGAACAATGTTTTTAATTAAAAGTTTTAAGCCAAAACTTTGTCTGAAATACTTATAGACCATCATCTTCATGAAACGAACATTGATGCAGAATAATATGAATTCATTACATTTTGTGGTTTCTCATCAGCTGCTTACAACCAAATATGTATTAGAATTTTACATTAAGGTAAGATATAGTGTGGAACAACTGACATAAGTGAATGTAAAAAGTTGGAATGATAAAGGTTATCAATAATAAATAAATAAATGTATGTGTTCAAGAACAAGTCAAAGGTTATTTGATGTTAGAATCAAGAAAACATTAGGGATGGGTGATGTATTAGTTGATTGAATTTCAGTGACAGGTAAGATCAATTATGTGATAGTTTTAGGGGTAATGAAGGGGCTACATAAGATTCATGGAATTAGAAACTGGCAAGATGGCTTACGTAACAATTAAATAGGATTTAAAGAGTTTACAATTTAAAAGAATCGAGTGAGTGAAAATGTATGAGTGAAGTGGTTGTTTAAAAATTCGGTAATGGAAGAGAAATATAACAAACTAAACATTAACAAAATAAAACTAATGAGCAAAACTGAATTACTAGGGTAGTAATAAGTTTATTACTGTCTCTTTTTGAATACTTAGATCATGTTTGAGTTTTTATCGCGATCGCTTCAGCAAAACGGAGAGAAACAATATTTGTTTTCTAATAATTGTAAAAACATGAGGAATGTCAATGTTATGCCCAGTGTCAAGTAAATGCCGAGCTATTGCATTCTTGAGAGCCCTTGTTCCTCGCAGTCTCAATTTCTTCGGAACATGCTTCGAAATGTGAACATGTACTCTTCTCTTGGTTCTTCCTATGTATTTGCTTTGTCACGTACATGTCTTTTCTCAGAATCCGAAATTGTTAATTTTATATATACATTATTCTAACTCAAAACAGCCTGTTAAACTAAGTAGATTATTAAGGTTGCTTTCTCTGGGAAACAAGGAAAAGCCACAGGAGGTAAATTTCAGCCAAATCTGAATCGTTATAGGTGTCACTGTTAACAATAACTGAGTCACAGAATATCCCTGATTTTATGGGGATTCCAAATAAGTTATTTAAAGATGCCTTCCATAGCACACTGTCTGGAGATCAAGTGTGATATCTGTTGTGATCGTGGCAACACAAGATCGGAGAGTCATAACAATGAAACGAAACTTTCTAACGTGTACTAATTTTTTAACAGTCCTTCATCTCGTCTTAGAAATTAAAAAAAGTTATCCTCAAAGTATGTTTATTTCCGAAGTGATTTATATCCCTTTTTTACTTAACGAATGGAAGCAAAATTTTGGTTTCGACCACAACAACGATTTGACCTTAAAAGGTAGGTCAATATATTTATTTATTTTTTACAGATGAAGCTAACCTATTCGATAGTTTCTACTAACTGTTTTTGATAAGTACAACTTTCTTCATAAATTGATATTACCTAAATAAGCAATGAATCTTATTCCCTAGTAATTTTCAATGTAAATACTCTGACTTTTTACCTTGACATTATAAATGTTAACCAAGCAATCAATAAATTAAATTAATTAGAACTGTTTTGGATAATTCATGGTGTAGCAAAGACAGACGGTCATTATTGGTGCGCTATACGTTTAACGTATCAAAAAAAACTAGCTGTCTGAAAGACAAAATATTCTTGTTATAAGTTTCAATTGCACAAAATGAACCTGAATGTGGTATTGGGCGATCTAGTATACTTTGTACTGAACAAACAATGCACTGTATATAATTTCATTTTGATAAAATGATAATTCAATAATGTTTTGTAATCCTAAAATCAATAAAACTAACCAATGACTGACTAACATAAGTGCAGGTAATATTTTATAACTTGTATTCCAAGTACCTCTTATCATCGGTTAAAGTGATTATTCATTTTTATTGGTTGTTTAGATCTTCCCATTTATATTTAGGACTGCGATTGACCAGTTTCTTTAGAAATATGTGTATACTGTGTGGACTGCCTCAATATTACCATTAAGTTACAAGCATTTTAAACAGAGATAAGTAGTAGCTACCAGTGGAATCTAAGACACGCGTTTCGTCTCACTTGGGGCTCGTCACCTGAATCTGCCTTCATCCCGGTGTTTATGTTTACTCTTGGACTTGAACCCGATACTGTTAGCTTCAAATGCCTTTGTGTTATCCACCTAGCTTCTGAATTCAGACAGGCGTTGACTTCCATTGGAAGAATTAAACAACCAATACAGGTGAATTTAAACTCACCCCATTGTATAAGCCAGAGGCCATTTGGACCCAATAACTAGGTGATTGAAGCGAAAGATAATCGCTTTGAATGATCTTAGATTAAATTATCGTATAGCTCTAGTGAATGATCAAGTAATAGAATTTTATCGATAGCTTAAATCTCAATATGTGCAATGGATTTGTTCACTTTTATCTGCTTGTTTATGTGTTGTTAACTTAAGGTATACTAGCAAGCAGTATTATCTGGAATAGCCAACAACTACTTTTACAACAGATAAAAGATTTTGCGCTTTCTGTTATATCAAAATATATATCGTCACCTTAGGTTATCTGAAAAACCTAGTAACCCGGTTTCAGATGAAGAAATTATTTCAAATGCACCCTTGTTAATTATTTATGCTGATTTTCATAAATTAATGTGACCTCAAAGTAAGCAGTCGACAAGAGGCTATCTTGAATGCCTTGCCACCGTGATATTTGTATGTGAGACTAAATTTAACAAATAAAACAGGCACACTTCTCACTTTGAGCCCTTAATGTTATAGAAGACAACTTTCTAGAAGGTATACGGCGCACTTCAAACAATAAGGAGTTAAGAAAACTAATTATTCATTTGTGATTGTCAAAGTAAATGTTTTGAAAACCAACTATATATTTTGAGAACCGAATGAATCAGAAGGTCGTTACAGATCAACATCGATAGAGAAATAAACAAGTCATACTGAAACTTCATCTGTCTAATATTTCAATTTAGTGTTTATTTTGATGAAAAGGTTTCTCTCATTAAGCAAGGAAATATCCCCTGTCTTTTCATCGGGTCATTTTCACTAATAATGTAAGTGATCAAATGATAGCTTCTAAAAATGTATTTCAAAATTTTCGAAATGGTCGTCAGTACAAAATACTTTTCTTCAACCTACAGTAAAACAAAAATTAGATGAATAAGATTTTCAGGTATGGATCCAAGCTGTTATACGTTCATAGATACCTTTCAACTAATTTGTGATTGTATTTAATCCCTAGAAAAACTAACAAAGTTATTCATCTTGTAAATGATTTGCTGTATAACGAAACAAATATAAAATCTTTTCATAAGTATGGGTTCTTACTTAACAACTCTCTAGAAACCCTGATCTTCTATTGAATCAGATCTTTTTCTCATACTTCATAACACATTATAGTTTGTAAAATGAAACCACTTTATATGTTTTAAAATAAGTGATGATATAGAAATCTTTTACATCATTGGTCCATTACTATTACTTCAGCAGTACTCGTAGGAAAGCACACTGGATTAATAAACGTGTTACACTGCAAATACTCAACGATAACAAGTAATCGAAAAGAAGAGAGCAGAATTTTATGGAATTAAATACAGAAAATTCCAAAATGATTTTATAACATTTGGGAACTGTGGTGTCAGGAATTCTTTCTGATTAGTTTATATATTAACTTCTATTGAAACTTTTCATCAAACCAACAATTTCATTATTTTTTTTAAATAAAAGAGTAAAACTTGTTATTTTTTATATTTTACATGTTATTGAGTAAAAATAGAATTCAGCGAAGAAAGTTTTCTTTTCGACGAAATAATTTACTTAAGTTGTACATTCGTATTTATAGTTATATGGAAAATATATGTCCATAATAGGATAGAAAAGATTACATCATAAAGTGATTCGAAACTCTCGTTATCAAATGAGGTAACGCAATAATCAAGGGGTAAGAAAAGAATCTAAGGATGAAAATAATTTACGGATCAGATAATTATCAGCTGTTCAGTGTAAGCTGCTCCACATGAGCACGTAAATTTATAGATGCACATTGATGTGGCCCAAAGCGAGAGTTTATCCTTAATACGTCCGTGAATGGAAGGCCGGCTTGAGAAAATAATTCGGAGCTTAGTTGAGTTGAATGTTTTATTAAAGGATTTTGAAATCCGTTTATTTATGATTTCAGCAGCCGTATCTCCATTGAATTCCATATTCACAAAAACAGTTTTCATTTGTACTGCTGGTACTTTTTTCGAATGATGTTTAGTTGTTAAGTTACTATCGCCAAATCTAGGTGGATAACCATTTCTAATGAGAGTCTGTCGAAGCTGGAGTAGTTCCTCATCAATTGTGTCAGTAGAACATATTCTTCTGATCCTTGAGGATAAAGAGTGAATAAGGTCTCTCTTTTTACTCAGTGGGACCCAGCTATGAAAATTCATGTACTGCCCATTTCAAATTGGTCTTCTATATATAGATCTCTGTAGAAAACCATCTAATCTCCTTTTTAATCGGACACCAAGAAAATGAAATTCCTTGTTTTCCACTGTTTCCGAAGTGAACTGAATTGAGGGGTGACAATTATTGAAACCATTTAAAATTGTATTGAGGTCCATATCTTCACAAATAATGAAAGTATCGTCCATATATCTCTAATATAAATGAAACTCCTCATTTATTGGTCAAAGTACCGTATTATCAAGATTGGCAATGAAACAATCAGCCGAGAGGGGACCCAATCGAGAATCCATTGCAACTACATCTGTTTGTCTATAAAAAATCATCATTAAATCTAAATTGCACGTTGAGAGTATATCGTAGAAGTAGCTCTTTTGAATAATGTTTTGGAATATTATTATTTTCAATATAGTCACACTAAAAACATATAGTTTCTGTGAGAGAAACATTTGTAAAAAGAGAAGTGACATCCAATAAGATAATTTTCCTACCATTTAAATTAATATTTTCAATTGAGTCGACAAAGTAAAGGAATCAAGAGAGTTGTATCTATTGATATGATTTTTATAGGGTTGTAAGATATTAGCTAACCATTTAGAAATCAGGTTACGCTTGTTACTCTTTTTTATTTAAAGAAAATATTGCAAAATCTCTGAATGATAACATCTACTCAGTTGTACATTGGCTATCAAAATTAATTGTTTTTATGGCTGAAAGACTGGTTACATTTTATTTGGATTGTCATTACATAAGCTTTTGTTTATCGGAAAGCAATACGAGCAACAACACAATCAATGTTAACTTTTATCTTTATCAATTTTCCTTATTGTCGCTTAGTTATAATCAAAATCAATCATCCATTAGTGGTTACCTTTTTTAGTAATTGAACAAAATCGTTAAAATTGAGAGTGAAGTTGTACAATGATTAGGAAAATACTAAATTTTCTCCCAGCTATCAATCTAGAAGATTTATACAGAAATCTGAATCACAAGTAATAAATATAAATTAAGTCAGTTATAAAAATGAAGCAGAAATCTTTATCATAGGACTGAACATAGTGTAAAGTCTTTCTTGGTGTTTGTTATTACTATACAATCTAGTTGATAAAAAATAAGGAATGCCACCTTTTTTGTGAGATAATTTTTTTTTAAATGTGTATATACTTCCTGTCAGTTTGTTGCTTCATTTAGCGTATCATTTGCACAGGATTCTGTTGGTACTATAAAAACAGATAAAGAACTTCTAAATGACATTGGTTCTGTCTGCACAACATGTTCAGTATAATTATCTTCCTTGATCGTTACTTCTTCAGATGATAATGTTTTTAACTTGTTATGTATCATTGGTGTATCATTCCCTCCAGTATTAGTTATTTCATCACAAATTTCTGACTTCATATTCCATATAGGTCCAGAATAGCTTTCACTGTTCAAACATTGTTGCCGTATTGTATTAATTGCTAGTTCAGAATCATCTATGGTCTGCAGATTTTACAAAAACAATTTACATACATATATTAAAATATGAAAATAATTAATTAGCTTTCAATCGTCAACCAAATTTTAATACAAAGTTCAAAAATCTTCAAACCATTGCATAGAAGAAAAGAGTGACGTTCGATCATTGTATCTGATTCTAATGGCCCATTAATTTAGGCATTTGATACAGCTCATAGTAAAATAGTAATATTTGTCATATGGTGTTCCCAACACAGGCCATTGTCCATAGTTATATCTCAATCATTACACGATTTGGAAACCTTGTCATTTTATTCCTTACTATTTCACTGTATTTAGACAGTGACTGAAATTTGTGGATACTTTAAATGGATATTTTTAATAAATATCGTGACACTTAAAAACTACGCTATTAGATTATATGATTATTCTGATACAAATACCCGTTAGATGGTGGTTGGATGTAGTCAACAGGAAACCCTGGACCCGGGTTTCCAGTGACGAGCGCCAAGTAGCAAGAAACCCGGGGCCAAGGTTTCCTGTTGACTACCTCCAACCACCAACTAATCTCAATATAGTGCACGCAATGTCGAGTCACCTAGACTAGTGGCCACATTGCAGCTTGGTCGATTGCATTATATCTGCACTAATAAAGACTTGACACACATGACATTGATCACCACCCAGTGATCAATCAATTGTGACAACTACCCGTTATCAACTGTTTACTAAAACACATAGATAAAATACAACTATTTCTCTACATTAGTATGTTATATGGAGCGCTATTTTGAAACCATAAGACAAGAAATAGCCCAGTACATAATAAACGCAAGAGAAGAAATAAAGTTTAGTCGTGATTATATGGGACTTGCATTATTTTACATACGTTCTAGTAATCAGTATAGTATGCCATCTGCCTGTAATAATTCTCACTTCACACTAATATAGTGCCTTTATTCTTTTTGCCAACGTAAAATTGATGTACTTTTTAATATCTAGTTAAAATTGGAGAGGAAAATCCAATAGTCCAAACGTTATACCAACGAATCAGTAAGTCAATAAATTTTCATATAACGAAACAGAAAAATGAAATCATTTTGGATGATATTTAAACTAAGCAAATGAACAAAACGTACACACATCTCTAAAATATTAAAATCATCTCAGTTGGACTACATATTTTTGATACTAGTTACCCGTGTCTGTTTAATTTTACTTATAACTCATCAACTGTAAGTATATTCACACCCCAATGTTGATGTTAATGATGAGACTGGGAACCAGTATCCATCAATTAAAACCCTTGCAAATAGTAATAATTTTTTAATAAATGTTAACACTTGATGAAAATGATAAAAAGTATTTAAGTCTGTCTTATACATATGAGTCTTTTAATGGTTTGTATGCAAATACTTTCTTATACTTGTATGATCATCAAATAAAAATAAAAGACCAGTTGTTCTTTCACTAATCTACCAGTTTGTTCCGTAGTTTACGAATATAAATTATTTGTTCAAGAAGTAAAAAGGTGAAAATCATTACAATCTTCCTTTAATAACACACTGTATAGTAATAACATTAGTTCACGAAATATAATAAAACATTGTGCTGTGTACAAATGCATATCTATAACGAAATTATTTATTATCATTTATAGGCTTAAATAATAAAGCGACTTGATTAGAACAAAAGTTGGCTAAATCCATAATTAAGTGAATTGAGGAATCGATCTGCACGACGTTGAACGACAGTGTAAAAAATTAATTTTGAAATTCTGAGAAATATTTGCAGTCGGTGTGTCTTAACCACTTTAATTTAAGTGCTAGAAGAAATTAGGTAGAAGCCTTATAAATGACTATGTGAAAGTGTTAAAAATGCCTTATGCACAATGTCGATAAAGAACTAAGCACATAAATTACTTTTGTAAGTCACTAAAATTAGTTTAAAGCGTAATGTAGTAGCCATGACAGATCATCCATGAAACAATGGTAAACTAATACCAATGTTATCTCCAAAATAATTATACTCTTCAAACTTAAAGCTGAAGGAATGGAAGTTTACTTTGCAAAAATAAATTTGAAAAAATATTTTCATATATATTTATCCAAAAGTTAGAAATTTATAGACATTACTTCAAGTAGAATCAAAGGTCCAGTTATTCTGTTGTCATTTAATTCAAACTGGTTGTAAACCCGCTCTTACATGTATAAATTATGTAAACTAGACTTTTCAAATAAATGTTAAAATAATTAAAGTGAATAGGAATAAAAGTAAATTTCTAACTTTACTTTCAGAATATATCAAGAATAAAGTATGAATTCATTTTATTTTGTATGTTCATGCTTTTCTACTAGAATCTTTGTTCTTGCTCTTTTCAAAATGATAAAGGGAACTATATGTATGAAAAAAGAATAAAGTAGTCAATACCTCCAAATGCTAATGGATAAACTCATAAAACGATGATTTATCAAGTATTCAAATTAAGTTAAAGTTATTGCATTTCGAAAAATTATAGATATATACAATAAACTTCTTTAGACAAATAGGAGCATGTGACTACAATGGGAACAAAGTAATATATAATTCATATGAGACCACTCTAATTTCACTCTTGAGAAGGAAAGATTTATTGTTATTAGTTTTCTAAAGGAAATACATTAGCTCTAATTTGTAACAAGTTAATTTTTGTCATACATTGACATACGTTAAAGGATCACTGAAAATTAGGGAACACTGGATTGTTATTTTTTAGTATGTGATCGCTCACCGATGCATGCTCACAATCCCACCATGTATTGAACTTGGGACTATTAAGTTTCAAAGTGAGCTCATCACATTTGAACAAGTGATTTCGAATTAAGATGCTCAGATTTCCAACATTAATCATTTTGTGACATAGTGTTTTGTCATTCAATACCACTTTTAGCAAATGACTAAATGCATTAAACAATTGATAATAACTGACCCCTAACCAAAGATGTAACGATAATCAATATGAAATAATTTTCTGATAATTCATCCATTCAGTGGTCACGTTGTTAAAACTTTATTATATAAGAGTCTAAATAAGAACTTTCGTCTAAATTTGATCGAATAGTTTCACAGTATTTGGGCGCCGAGTTAATGTGAGACATTAAAGAGGAAAAATGTATTTGTAAAATCTCAGCGAAAGAATTTGAAGTAAATCCAACGTTTTGCTTGGCAATCTCGTCCAAGCTTTTTCAAGGAAATATAATCAAACATCAAAATTATCGAATATATATATATATATATATATATATATATATATATATATATATATATATATCCTTGAAAAAAGCTTTGACCAGATTCCCAGGCGAAACGTTGGATTTTCTTCAAAACTCATTCGCTGAGATTTTACAAATACATTTTTCCTCTCTAAGAGTCTAGTTAATATTGTAGGAAAAATACACTTTTTCAATTATGCGAAAAAAGAGGAGCCTAATAAACATTACTCCGATCCAGTTAATTGCTAAATGATAGATTGATAACGGAAGCTATCACTATTACACATTCTAAATTAAGTTAATAAAAACCTACTTATCTAACCAATTTTTAATTACGCAACAATGTACACCTTATTAGACACTGTCAGACTAACATAAATTAACTTAGTAAAAATATATCATAACATCATCCACCATCTTTATTCATATTAAATGTGATCAAATATATCTGGATTATACTTATCATTTAATTATTTCATCGGTCGCAGTTCTACGTAGGTTAAACATTTATAATTTTATTGTGCTTACAATATTATATTATCCCCATTTTTATTGGACGTGTTAACAAACACATAATTATCTATACCCACAATATGCAAAACAAAATTTTATCACTTGCTATGTTCATATTTTTCAAATTTATATTTAATTATACATGTAATATTATCAACGAATGATGATTTATCTGATACTATAAATTTCTTCTTGGTTGAATCCTTAAAGCTGATAAAATCGAATGCACATAGTTCCCTTTATCATTTTGAAAAGAGCAAGAACAAAGATTTTAGCAGAATAGCATGAATTCATTTTATTTCGTAGGTTCTCGTCAGCTGCTTACAACCTGTGATATTTAAAAATCATAATTGCATAATGGATTTAAATTGCTTACAAAATATTGTAAATATATACCTAATGTGATAGAATATTCTACAACATTAATTGTGACAACGGTTCAAAAATGGGTTAGAAACAATTGATTACATAATGAATAAACATTGATAGGAATATAGTGATTAGAGTTCAGTTGAAAGATTATTAATTTGAAAGATAGTTGAAAAAATAAATTAGAATCAAGGGAAAGAAAGACTCTGAACAGTGCGATCACCAAACATCTCCTTGATACAGGACATCAGGTAGATACCTTACAATCCTTTAGGGTGATTAGTAAGCAGCCAAACTCCAGTCTTCTGAAGTTTGCTGAAGCCATTGCCATCAGGCGACAAAAACCTGACCTATGTATTCAAAAGGAGACGGTGGTTAATCTTTCCTTACCCTGGTGACAAATATTCCTTCACTGAACCTTAAAATTTTTTTCTTTCCTCTTTTTTCTGTTGCATTTATTACATCATTGATTCTAATTTATTTTTTCAACTATCTTTCAAATTAATAATCTTTCAACTGAACTCTAATCACTATATTCCTATCAATGTTTATTCATTATGTAATCAATTGTTTCTAACCCATTTTTGAACCGTTGTCACAATTAATGTTGTAGAATATTCTATCACATTAGGTATATATTTACAATATTTTGTAAGCAATTTAAATCCATTATGCAATTATGATTTTTAAATATCACAGGTTGTAAGCAGCTGACGAGAACCTACGAAATAAAATGAATTCATGCTATTCTGCTAAAATCTTTGTTCTTGTTCTTTTCAAAATCGAATGCACCGGTTAATATTAGGTTTGTGGTATTGAAGCTCATTCTAATAAGTGCCGAGTGTTTCAAATTAATCCAGAAAATCTATATATAGGCTTACTTTTATAATTTCTTGACATTATACGATTATTCTATAATTAAATACGGTTTACCTGACTTATTTCTCTACTAATCTTCAGTATTTAAATCTATTTAAATAAAGACATAGACAATCACATGATTTAATGGATGGAAGTAAAATAGCACCTACTAAAAAAGGAATACAGAGACGTTTGCTGTGGTAACATACAAAGTCCAAAATGTTATGATGATGTACATTAGGCAAAATATAACTGTTTCGTTTCAAATCCAATGAAGTTTAAATAACTAACTTCTTTTTTAATAATAATAACAAATAACGAAATTAGTAAAAGGTCAAGGAATTTAAATTTATCGTTAGTTGCGCCTTAATGTTCGGCTCTACATGATACTTATTTAGTAAAATAAGTGAATAATTCGAGTCCTATACTTTTTGTGGTCACACTGTTAACACTTACTGAATTTAGTGTATTTATTTTAGACTCATGTTTACCGAGTATTTTGGACACATATATTTTTTTACTATTATTGTAAACATAAAATTGTATTTACTATGTTTTCCTTAGGCTAAACCCAAAAAGCAGTGGATAGAAAACACTCAAGGAAGATTTAACAGTTAAACTATGAATTGTAAACTATAAATCATTCAATTTTTTATGACAGATTTTACGATTTCTTTCTCAGTCAATTATGAATTCGTTATCTTGTTTAATCATTTCTGGATAGTTTAATGGTGAAAGGGAACCGGTTACTTTATAAATATAAGTTTTTACGTTACCAGTTTCATGCGCTTTTAGGATAGCAGTTTAAATAAATAGAATTTATTACATCTGATCACAATTCTTTTGATGAAAATCAAATTGAACTATTCATCATCGATTGATATTAACCAGGAAATCACTTGGATTATTGTTGCGTTCTAGTTTTCGACCCTTCATTATGATCTAACTACAGTCTCTCAATTGAACTTAGTATCATTCGGATTGAATTAGCTATAATCAAGATTCTGTGTACGATGATTAGTTATTATTGTTTAATCCAATTTTTCATGTAATGATTAAGTTACATTAAAAGTATTTTACTAATGCTACTATGATACTTATTTATGAAACTTTATAAAAATACCATAAAGAGAGTCATTTCAGACTATATTTGATGATTTCTTGATATGAAATAAACAGGACATATTGTACGCACCATGACACCTTACTTATAAGTAAAGTAAATGATAAAAAGTTTTATCGAGATTACAAAAGTTATTAACCCGTAACTGTAATTGATCGCTTAAATGAACTTTATCATTCTTTATGCTTACCAAGCTTTTGTAAAAGTTTGACTGACCTATATACTAGTAGCTTTGTACAGGCCGTCATTATGCGATTCACTTTGTAATCCAAGTCTCTACCAGTAAGCTTTATTGAAGTTTCAGAAAAAAAGAGTTGTACTAGAACTAGTTGTCTAACCAGATGGTTTATGCTTCACTTGAATAATGATAGACTAACACATCTAAACTATTCACAATAAAATCCTCAAGCCTAGCAAATTCATATAAGAAATCTGGTATAATTTTTTCTGTCGTCAAACCACCCAACTGTGGGTTCATGAAAAAAATGAGTCATATCCCTGATAGTTAATGGGTGTTTAATGTACTATGATTAATCATAAGCTAATCAAAAAAGTACTCAAAACTGAACTTACAGACATGTTTTGAAGATCTAGTAAATTACCTAATTAGGTGTATGAATTAATGTAACGATTCTTCTAAAAACTGAAAAGCGTTTTTATAGAAGCAAATAAAATCGAAAATACTCATTCATACTATTTTCAAATAAACTAATTTTATATGACTTACCTTGTTTGGTTTCATACTTGTTTCATTTGACTCAGGCATATCTAGTCTCCTTAATTGTTGCATTTGTTCTTGTTTATTATTCTGGATAATTAAATTTGGATTTTGTGAATCACCTTTTATGTTCATCACCTTTTTTCTTTTAACAGTTTCTGATAAGACAATATAAGTCTGTTCTTTACGCCAAAGTTTCCATGATTGATGATGATATCGAAGAGAAAACTAGAAGTTTTTTATTTTATAAAAATAACTTTTTACTTTCCTAATAAATTACAAATATTCACAAGTTGATAAAGCATGTGTGGCAAACACAAGAGAAGTCACTAATGCTACTTAAAAAATTTAAAAGTATGTTTCTAGGAAATTCAAGTTTGTTTAACATATGTACCTTAATGATTTATGAAGTTAACAGGAAGTATTTCAATTTAAAAATATCATTAAAAACACAGGAACATACTTATACCTAAATGATTTATAAATGGAAAACACAAATGTTCACTTGATTACACGAAAAGGAATACAGACTTCCTAACGAATCCCCAAAGTTCGAAAAATAACATTCGATGAACCCTTTAATACATTATTCGAGAAATAGTTGGGGCAAAACTGCTTTATGTTACTTAACTTGTGCTAGTAGTTTTTTTATCTTGAGCCGTAGTTAGAACAGTTTTGAAATAAATTTCTATGACAGCCAACCTAAAAGCTATTTCATTTTGATCAAATCTTTCAACAAAATTGAACTTCTGTCGAATGTTTCCAACGGCAGTTTAGTCAGTCATATTAGAAATGGTTATTAAAAATCATTGAGACTATTTTCTAAACGTGATAGATTTATGAAGACAGAAGAGTTGAATATCGACTTCTCTAGCTATTTCCAAATATCACTAAAATTATTTTTGGGTAGTATTTAATCCCTGTGACGAATTTATACATGTTCTGACAGTTTTTAAGCCGAATAAAAATCTACTCATCCTTTTCTGATATCCTAATGAACTATAAAATTCATGTTTGTTAGTAACCAACAAAAATCTGATATGAAAAGTCAGCGACTTTCAGTAAAATTGTTTTAAATTGACTGTTGATTGCTTTTCAGGACAAATTAATTCAGTACTTATTTGGGGTTTATGAACCCAAAAACACATTGAAGCAATGACCTCGAAGCTTCAAAAAGCTTTAAAGCAACACAACAACACTTTCGTGCATCTTACAGATTTATCTTTAGCTTTTAGAGACTACCAATAAGAACTTTACAGACTTTACGTTCTATAGAATCCAAAGGGGTTTTGAAAAAGATGAGAAACTTTCAAAGACATTGATTTAGTGGTTTTGCGGTATTGTATTTTATGTATAACTATCAAAGCGCACATTAAATTTTAATCATATTTTTGATCAAACAAATTAGTTTAGATCACTTTGTCTTATGTTATTCGAATTTCGTTGATCACGATAAGTTCAATACTCACCATTAACCAAATATTAAATACTAAAAGAAGAAGACTGCATAATAATCCAAGAAAAAAAGACTGCCATGGAAACCTTGAATTAGCACTTTTTTCATCCTGATTCGAAGAAATCGCCAACCATGCGCACAATGTGAGCAAAGGTACCATTATTAGCAGGCAAATTAAATCTGTCCATAAATATCTGCGACGATGTATCCCATCTCCTTTCCCTCCCATCCATAACCACTAATTTAACAAAGATGAATAAAATCTGTATTGCTTAGTTTTTTAATGACAATACTGAGTTTTATTTCCAAACAAATTAAGAGACACAAAGTTAATTATAACGGTCTATCTAAAGCATTTCTTAGACATAATGAACCCGATATAAACAGACCATTTTGTACATTAAGTTAATAATGGACTCCTTTTATTCAGTATTCTAAGGATCATATTGTTTCCTGAGTGAAAATTTTAGGAAATTAGAAGATAACATAAAAGCTTGAATAACCAACACATCTTTAATTCCAAAAATCAGTCATTAGACTTTAACTCTTGTTGTTTAGATAGACAGTTCAGACGTTGTTGTTGACCTGGCTGTGTAGCGGCATTTACTCTTGTATCTCTATAACTACAACCATCATATATCTAGTAATTTTCAAGCTTACAGAATCCAAAAAGCACTATTTAAATGTTCAATATAAGAATGTAAAAACAAACAATAGAGTTTTGCCATAATACTTTCTTATTCTCTTCTATGAGAAGGAATGCATTTCATAACGCAACTTAACTTAATACTTTGAGGATCAAAAGTAAGACGATCTTAAGACCAAATAACAACTAAATTGCTCTTTATATTCAGGTTCTTCTTAATATCCACTATTTCAAGTAGCGATTATTGAATACTCTTTTGAGTCACTCTAAATATTTTCCTTTAATAGATTGAAAGCTGCAATAAATGCTTACAACTTTCTCCAGGTTTTAAAAAAACGAAAAGTTGAAATAGATAGTTGAAAATTATCTTTTTAGTGTTCTTTAAATGAACTAATGATAATGAAGAAAACTTTCATAGATGAGTTCTTCATTTTCATTTGATAGTTTTACCTTGTAGAATTACCATAATAAGTCGTTGTTAAACAAAAAACAGCTAATGTTTTGATATCAACTGAATAAGCAAATTGGGCTTCGTATCTACATTATGCAAATTTTGCCTTAAAATGTAGCACAATTGTGTGAAGGAATACATAATTGTTCCAAACCAATAACAATAAATGACTTATGTCACGTACATTTAGAATGATTAGGGGTATTTGGATTATAGTATGAACTTAGAATCCCAGAAATAACGTAATCGGATCAAGAAATACTAGATAACCACAAACGAATGTACTGTATTTAAAATTCGAAGTCAAGCATTCAAAAAGTACAAGGGAATCATAAGTTCATTCAAACGTCACAACATTGTGAGTATTTTGACTATACAACGTCTACAGATATTGTTCAACTGTCCTCAGGCAAGAATAAGGCTCCATGACTTTTAAATGCCTTCTCTTAGTACTTGTTCTAGTTATCATAAAATAATGCAACGGTTATATAAGTAGTGAATGATTTTTTGATCGATACTCGTTCTGTTCATAGTTTGTATACAGTACATTTAACTGTTTTTTTATTCTTCACACAGTGGTCTATCCGTATCTACTACAGTACCTTGAGGATCAATCTATGAATGTCAGTTTTAATAAATGCATTACCGAATGTTCATTAATAGCATCAACGGTGCAGTTGATAGACTGCATTTTTAAACAAAACCATTCTTACTAAAATAATAAAATGGACACCTTCAAATAAAAACTAAAGACCAAACTGTATTATGATTCAGTTTTCGAGGTCCGTGAAAAAGAGTTGTTTTCAAGATGGAAAAACATTTTGTGATTCACCGAGTAATCGGGTAGAGCTCTACATGTGATGATTTCTACCTGTAACTGGTGATACAAATGTGCCCAGGAACAATTTTTGCAAGCAAACAATACTAATTTCCACGTAAATAAAACATATTTCTCACGATGTAAAAGGGAGTTCACAACGTATATCAGGTCATCTGAGCTATATGTTGATTATACAAGACCGACTTTTGGGTAGTACCGACAAACCGGACAGTAATGACTGCTTTGCAGCTGAGATTATGGACTGAATTATTAGAACTAGTAAGTGAAGTAATATCCGACGCTATTCAACGGTAAAAACATATGAAACCCATTTAACAACCAGACTTCACCCTTCTTGCATGTCAAATATTGCCTTTTAGTGTTTAAAATAGAGATAGTGAGCCGAATATATGGTACACTTGGACTGTGGAAATATATTGTATTCTATGAAATAAACACATTGTAAGTGAAAATTCATCGACATAGTTAAATAAGGAACAGACCTTACAAAAGTGGGGATAATGTTTTAAAACTTCAAAAGTGAAACCGCAAATTTCACAGGCTTTTGATCGAGACAAGTTTAACCACTTCTCTAAACATTGTTGATGAACAATTCCAATTGTTCCTATTACCTTCGTGAAATGAAGAAAAGATATTTATTTTATTACCTGCACAATAGCAAGGGCTTATCAGTTCCTCAAAGTCACTGGACCCCAAGCATATACGACAATAAATCACATCGCTTTTTATCCTAAGGAAAACATCATGTTCATGGCAAACTGAGAGACATGTTTTACCTCTCAGGCTGCGGAATCGTTTTCGAATATCCCGAAGTTTTCATGAACGATGCATCTATGAATTGTGTATCAAGTTCTTAGAAAAATAATCATTACAATCGTCCAATTTCGAGCTCATACCGCGAAGACGTATAAAACATTTGAAAAGAACACCAATTGGTTCAAACAAATAAACAGTATATGCCTCTATATTTAAGTATGCTCGTATAAATATTCATCTGACAGCTGGGGATTTTTTGGAGTTTAGAAATTTTCGTATTCGTGAACTGAAAAATTTAATCTAAAACTACAGATTTGAGGAAAGTATTCATACAACAGTCATGTGAAATATAATCGTGACCCTCGAAATTAAGTGTTGTTTGATAGTTCTAAAGTTCCAGCCAATGAATTTTCAGTTAATGATTGTTGCAGAATAGTTCATTTGTCACACTACTTATTGAGGATTTCCTGTAAACCTGCAAACCCTGTACTATGCGTTCTGGTTTTTCCACTGTTGCCAGTTTGTATTTGAAGCATATACTCCAACTAACCCCTTATTATTTAGCATTTTGGTATCAAACTGTTAATTCTTGACTGTCTAACAGCGTATATCTTGATAAAACGGGCAGAGGTGATTGGGTCTATTTATGTGTGGAGTTAGGTCAGTCTACTGAGAAACTCTTGATAGATATTAAACTTGCCCATTCTTATACTTTTATTTTTAACCTAATTAACAGTGTCCAAGTTCATCTCTTTGAAACTTTGTGTTACACTGAACCCTAAACCAGCCAATTAAACACGGCATCTTCTGAAATTTGGGAAAAATATGGACCGTGCTATGAGGCATAAGTAGACGAATGTGAGACTATGAACCTAACCATCCAGAACAAGACACATGTCTCATGTGAATGCCCCGAGTTGTGATCGGCAGTTCTCACAGAGATCCCTCGATTATCACTGGAGAGATGCTAGTACTGAGTGGCTAGTAAGCCTCACACCCCAATGCCAACTCTTGTCATTATTAAGATTTTCAACCTTTGCTGGCCAAGAATGTACAAGCAACAAATCCATCGTACCTAAATACCACTAAGATAGTTTCCCAGACTAGATGGGATTTCCCAGTCCACCGCAGCACTTTGATCTGGTATAAAGCGTTTCATTTTTGTCCAGTAACAGTAAACATTTTTCTGTACAAAGACAAAAATTTATTTCATGATTTTTAACAACCAGTTTGCATTTGCGTAAGCAGTGGCTTGTTAAACTAACAAAGAATAATATCAATGTGTTCAAAACATCGATACGAGAATAGAAAATTTATTATAATGGACTTGTGTTTATTACTAATTTTAGCTCTCCGTGAACAACAAAATTTGTAATTTGGAGTCATTTTTCTTCCCCCAGTCTAAACTAGTGAACTTCATTGGTGAATGCTTGTCGATGGATTTATCTATATGAACTTATTCTTGACCATCGGCTACCAGGTGACCTCATCACTTAACGTTGTTCCGTTACGTTTTGCATTATGGCTCTTGTTCGAAAACTCCGGTATTAGCCTCCTAACAAAACCATCTGCTTCTGCTTGGACACTCGTGTAGTATTATAGAATTATGGTCTACTATGATATTAGTACTGCTCTAATAATAGACCTAATCCTAAAATTGTAGATTTGTCATGATATAACTGCCTAATCTATAAGATCTTACGTGGAAGTCACACCATCGACTACACCAACTCACTGTATGGTATCAATTACCAATACATGATGTAGAACAAGGTTAGGCTAGAGAAAGAACAATATATTTAATATGAATAGGAGATATAAGATAACATCCAGCAGGAACCACGCCTGCATGGGCGAGCCATGCCACTCGATCAACTCAGTCCATTCAATTCATTCTCTGCGCCTTCTCCATTGTTAGGTATTTCCCGGAGTTAAATATTGAATATCAATTTTCTGAGTAGTCTCGTGTTCACAGCTTTGTGGATTGTGTGGCTATTGTCCAATGCCACTACACTACTCTCCCACCAGAATCAACGTGATGTTGGTTCGATACCAAATTGGATGGGATCGTCGCGCGCCGGAGGTTACCAAGGATAATAAGGATCCTCCAGGTATTGATAAGCTGAAAGATATATCAAAAAGACGGCAGCATCTGGTCGGGAAATACATGTAATAATCTTAAAATTTCTGCTTTTATGATTAACACGCTTAAAACGAAAATTTGGTTGAAGATTATTATAGTATTCTAATTATCGTATGAATTAGGAATTCCAGGATTAACGCAATTGAATTAAGAAGACACAGGCACCAACGAATGTATTGTATTTAGGATTTGAAATCAAGCATTCAACCAGTACAAAGGTATCATTAGTCCATTCAAACACCACAATTATTTGAACTATAAAAATGGGATTACAATAATAATAATAAAACGATGCGTGTTAATAACTTAACTTATAGGCAGTAATTATTTTGTGTTTAGAAATATTAAAATAATGAATATTGTAGAAATGTTAATATTGGTATTAGTTTTGGTTTAAATTATGAAATCAGATAACGATTATGCCGGTAAGTTGTCCATAAGAGTTGAATTCCAATTGCATCTGTATTAGTAGGCTAACTGAAGGAACAAAAGTATACCGTGGAGAAGAATTCCAACTAGTGTTCCAGTCAGTTTGATACGGTTTATTTAGTTACGGGTAGATTTTCTCAACCTCATTTTTACTTGACCGTGATAGAATTTAGTAATACTACTAATACACATGAATGTTTATCAAAACAAAATTTAAATACGTAAGTGATGATTATATGAATTTTGGACAGATAGCTAGGAAAAAATCGTTAAACATGAGTGTATTCGTAAGAGACATGCTTTAGACTCAATGTTCTGATCTGTGGCAGACTATTTATTTATATTTATACTTGCTGGCTGATTGGGCATACAAGTTAGTTGCAAGTATGCAGTTTATAATAAGGCGGAATACGATTTAATTGAGATATGGTGGTTTTAAGTTATTAAAATCAGTTAGGCCTGTGTCATATTACGAAGTGATGTGGTATTGCAAGATGTATTTAGCTAAATAAGTTTTTACAAGATGATTAATGGTGAGTGATGCTCATGTGATTATCAGGGAGAACATAAGTTGTAACCAGGGGGAGTACACTCCCAACTCATGTCTATGATAATGACTTGAACCTTAGTCAGTGTTGGGGTAAATTCGACATTGATGTTTTTAGTTTGCAGGAGATTTGCTCGACTGCTTATACTGATTATTTGCATGCATGATTGTGTCGCTATACCATCAATTAGACTGACAAGGTTTTGAGATATTTACTGAATGAGCAAATGATAGAGAAACCTACTGTAATCATCTGTAGTGAATGAAGATAAAAGAAAAACAACACTAGTGATAATTATAAGTCAATTTGCTGATCGATTTTGTTAATAGTTTCATTAATTTTATCAATCATATTACGTGATTGTCAAGTCATGACAATGCTTTATGACGATATCCTGGAACTATTATGTTTAACTAGTTATAGTGTTGAATGAGGATTAGTCAGTGGAAAAATAGGTATTGTTGCTTCAGGTGATTCGAAATTATCAGAAATTTGTAACGTTAAAGAATCCGAGACGCCTAATTTAATTATAAATTTTATATCAGAAAGATTCGTTTAGTGTTAATTCTAGTAGGCTACGGAGTTTTGATTTTAAACGTTTATTTAGCCAACAGCTACCTGGGGATTTAGTTATTTTACAAGTGCAGTTGATAGTACCTAAATTTTTAATCTTATTATCTAAACTATGTCCGCATTTTAGGCTGCTACTATGATAAACCAATCCATAAACTCAAATATGATTAGCAACAACGACAATGGTGGGTTTATTGATAAATGTTAAAGGCGATGCAGATGATTTCTAAATTCAAAAGATATGAAGATATAGTGTAACGTATGTACGGGCCACGTTAACATGCAGGTTGTTGACGTATATAAAAATTTAAAAATAATGAACATGACCAGGAAAAGTAATTTTAAAGTCAAGACTGCTTATGAAACTTCAGGCAAGAATGTAACGCGTTATAAACATTCCATAAGAAGTTACTGCATTTAGCCTAGGGACACTTACAAATATGTGGCAAAAGCAACTGGAAAGCATATACATGTTAAGTACAAAAAATCATTAAGTAAAATAGTTGAACTCGCCTGGATTATTTTTGAAAATTAGATTATTCAGTGGACGACATAAATAACGCCATTCGTGAGTAGTATTGATCCAAAAGCATCCAGAATAAATCATGCAGTATGGCAATTAATTCCAGGGTGCTTGATGCTGTTGGGGTTTTTGCCACTCGCTCGGATCAGAACAATCGAATGAACCCAGATAATTGTGTGGTTGTCATTGAACGAACCATCTAAAAATGACCTTATGATTGCAGAAAACTTATAGCTGGAACTCACCGTATGTTTTTGGAGAAGTCATCCTCGTTGTTTGGCAATGGAACTCGAGAACATGAAATTAGGCAGGCAGTGGTCGGAAGAAGAGATATTACAGGATAGTGCATAGTTTAAAACAGGATGAGGTAATAAGATAAGGAACACTGAATATTAGATCCAGGTAACTATTTAGTCCTTGTTGCATTGTTAGTCGATGTATATTTGCGTTATTTACTGGTAATGTTTGCTAGAGCTTGATGCTTAAACAAGCCTATGTCGCTGAAGCATGTAAATGCTATTAAAGCTTGTTAACGAACCATCAAAGCTAATTAGTTAATATAGACGACCAGTTTTTATTATCGAATGAGCTAGTAAGTTATGTGAACTAATTGATATAACATTACGATAATATATGTGACCATTAATCAAAGGACTATTAGAATAGTGGGTTTACAAAAATAAAATCCGATTGAGAAGGTTAAGGTGGAAATAAGGATTAACAATAATGGGTTGCGTTTCTTTAGTTGGGCTCACCAATGTAGAATTATGGTCTACTATGATATTAGTACTGCTCTAATAATAGACCTAATCCTAAAATTGTAGATTTGTCATGATATAACTGCCTAATCTATAAGATCTTACGTGGAAGTCACACCATCGACTACACCAACTCACTGTATGGTATCAATTACCAATACATGATGTAGAACAAGGTTAGGCTAGAGAAAGAACAATATATTTA